AAAAAAAAAAAAAAGAAAGAAGATGCAGGGCCGGGCATGGTGGCTTATGCCTGAAACCCTACCACTTGGGAGGCTGAGGCAGGCGGATTGCCTGAGCTCACAGCTTCAAGGCCAGCCTGAGCCAGAGTAAAACCTTGTCTCTAAAAATAGTCACGCATCGTAGGGGGCACCTATAGTCCCAGCTTCTCGAGAGGCTGAGGCAAGGGGATTACTTGAGCCCAAGAAGTTTGAGGTTGCTATGAGCTGTGATGCTACGGCCCTCTACCAAGGGCTACAAGTGAGACTTGTCTGAAAAGAAAAGGAAAGGGAAAGGAAAAGAAAAGAAAAGAAGATGCATACACTATGGAATACTTTTCAGCCTTAAAAAGAGATGGAGGTTTTACATCTTTTGTTTTAACCTGGATGGAGTTGGAGAAATTCTACTTAGTAAAGTATTACAAGAATGGAAAAGCAAGGATCTTGTTTACTCAGTATTAATATGAAACCAGTAGATGAACAAATAGAAACCCACACATGAGAAAAACACAAACTCAAGTGCAGGGGGTGGGGAGGGAAGGGGATTGGTGTGCTCTCACCTAGCAGGCACAATGCAAGGGTATACAGCACACTTTCTGGGTGAGGGGCACAACTACAACTTGGACTGTACCTAATAAATGCAAACAATGTAACCCAAATCATCTGCATCCTCCTATTAATCTGAAATTTTAAGAAAAGAACAAAAAAAAGGAAAAGAAACAAGATGTATATGAGTACATGTGTATAGTAACAAGGGGCTCCAGAGCAGTAGGATCTCTGCTTAAAAGAATATGTATTTGTCATTTTAGTAGGTATTGCCAGATTGCTCCCTAGAGAATCACAGAAATGTACTCGAGTTACATTCCTACCCTTAGCATGGATGAGTGCCTGTTCCCTTGCTATATATTATCAAGCTTATAAAAGCCATCCCCACTCTGAGTTTATAAAAATGTTTTCTTATCTATTAATTTTTAGCTTTTAGCATTTTGAATCTGTTGTCAGTCTTCCATTTGCCCATTTTGGGGTTTTTGGTTTTGGTTTTTGTATGTTTCGTCTATAAGGTGTGAAATAGGGTTACTTTGTCATTCTACCATCATTTATGTAATCTGTCCCCCACTATATATATTTTGTCGAGCTAAATTCCTGTATATATTTGATCTCTTTCTGGATTTTTCTTGCCTGATCCATTGATCTTTCCATTCAATCTTTAGTAACGCAATTTAGCCTAATACTATATTTTAATATCTAATTGGGTTACCCCCAGCTCTTGCGTTACTACTCTTTTAGTTGTCCTGACTATTCTTGCTTGTTTATGGTTAGTATAAATTTGAGATATGGTGTGTATTGTTTTGTAAAAGAAAAAATAATTCAGGTGTGGCACTGTAGCACAGTGGTTACAGCACCAGCCACATACAGAGAGGCTGACGGGTTTGAAGCCAGCTGGGGCCAACTAAAACAACAATGATAACTGCAACAAAAAATAGCCGGGCATTGTGGCAGGCGCCTATAGTCCCAGCTACTTGGAAGGTGGAGCCAAGAGAATTGCTTAAGCCTAAGAGTTTGAGGTTGCTGTGAGCTGTGATGCCACAGCACTCTACTGAGGGCAACCTAGTGGGACTCTGTCTCAAAAAAAAACAAAGAGGCTCCGCGCCTGTGGCTCAAATGGCTAAGGCGCCAGCCACATACACCTAAGGTGGCAGGTTTGAATCCAGCCCAGGCCCGCTAAACAACGATGGTTGCAACCAAAAAACAGCCAGGCATTGTGGCAGGCGCCTGTGCTCCCAGCTACTTGGGAGGCAGAGGCAGGAGACTCGCTTGAGCCCAGGAGTTGGAGGTTGCTGTGAATTGTGATGCCACAGCACTCTACCCAGGGGGACAGCTTGAGGCTCTGTCTCAAAAAAAAAAACCAAAGAATTCAGCAAATATTTTTTGGTGTCAGTTTGTAGATTATCCTAGGGAAAGTTGATGTCTTTCATGTTG